GAGAGAGAGAGAGAGAGAGAGAGAGAGAGAGAGAGAGAGAGAGAGAGAGAGAGTGTGAGAGAGAGTCTGTGTGCAGTACTGAGCTAGTCAAGGGCAACGTCGTCTAGTAGTCGTTCATGATTGCTACTTCTTCAATCTGTCTAGGGGTAAGGCAGCGATGACGTGGAAGAGTCTGACGGCTATGAACGTTATTACAGCAATCGTCGATGGAGTCGAGTATAGAGTAGCGATGACGATCGTGGTGAGGTTTGATGGCGTGGTCGAAGCCGACGATGACCTAGTTCTCAACAGCGATAGCGAGAATAGCAAGAGCGTCCTAAACAATGAAGTCGAGTTTGAAGAAGACGATGGAGATCAGGTGTCCTCGGCAACGAGGAAAGACGAGGAGGAACAAGGATGGTCGAATAGGCGTGGAAAGGAAGAGGAGGAGAAAGATAGCGGTGCGGGGAAGGAGGAGGACGAGGGAACAGTGAAGTTTCAGATCGTGTTCAACTGTGATGTAGATGAAAGTGACGACGAAAGCTGTGTTGAAGGTGATGACGATGGCGAGACTGAATGCAGTTGCTACTGCGACGGCGATCAGGATTTTGACGATGAGTGTGATCATGATAACGACAATGATCCTGATGATGACAGCGACAGTGGTTGCGATGATGATTGTGAATATGATTATTGCAGTGTACATAATCGCCATGATGATGATGATGATGATAATGATGATGATGAGGAGGATGATGATAATGATGGTAACAACGTTGACGATGGTGAAGGTTGTGGAGGTGATGCTGTCGGTGATCATGGAGAAGGTGGTACTGGCGCAGCAGTTGCTTGCGCGCACGATCCCGGTTGCAATGACGGCACGGTCCACCTCATTGACGTTGCTGACAGCGAGGCCGATTGTGGTGAGTCTGACGTTCGTCATTGCATTCATAACCGTGACGCCGATGACTGCAGACATATATGCGAGGCTGACCGTCTTGATGACGATGGTTGTGATTGTGATAACGACGATGATGATGATGATGGAAACCGCTCATTGCGGGAGGTTATCGGTGATCTTTTGCACGAGATCGATGGTGATGATCAGGCAGGTGATGATGGTGGTTCTGCTGCTAATAATAGTAGTAGTAGTAACCATGAGTTCGACGATGGAGATGACGATCGTGGTGCTGTGCACGACAGCGATCTCCGTGCCAGCAATGACGGTAAGACGGACATCGGTGTGGGGGACCGTGATGACGGTAGGCGTGAGGGTAGCTGTCCTTTCGTCGAGGTTGCCGGGGATCTTTTGCACGAGCTTGATGAGGCGATAGCCAGGGCGATGATTGGTGGTAATGATAGTGGAGAGGATGACACGCACTTGAAGGAGCTGCAGAGAGCAATTTGTGGTTATTGGATTGGAAAGTAGGGGGAAACTGATGGAGGCGATCTTTGTAGTCTTCATGTGCAACGATGGCGGTATTGGGGACGCTGAGGCGTAGAACACCAAACGATGTCGGCGGCGACGGCGATGATGTTCTCGATGGTGTGAATGAAGAGTCTAAAACAAACGTTATGAAATGGACGTTGTAAAATAGTGTCAAGGGCACCATTGTACATGCTAGTAGTATATTATCACTTGGACTGTCTTCAGTGAACTGCCCGCAGTTGCACCGAGGTCCGACTGGGCAAGTCCCGGTATGAGTACCCCTGAGGGGCAGTGCGATGGTGATCATGTGGACTCAGCCCAACGATGGAGGAGAGTGGCGGGAAGATGGGAGACGTCGTGATGATAGTAGCACTATGGCGGGATGGTGAAGACTGCCCTGAGGTGGCAGCATTGTGGAGATTGGGCGTTTGGGAGACTGCTGAGCAAGCCAGCGAAGCAGGGCGCGTGATCTGGTGTCTTATCGTCGATTCTCCACTCTGGAATTGGATGGTCGTCTTCAATCTCTGTCGTGGTTGGCTGATATAGGTCGGTGCCCGTGGGGTGGTAATGAGAGCGGTGTTCTCTGAGCTCGCTGGCTCTGGCGGCGGAGGCCGTTCCTTCCCTCGTCGTCGAATAACGGGACGTGGGTTTACGGGCCCGATCGAGCCCTAATGAGGACTGCCGTGTTGGCGACGACGATGTCGCACGTGGCTCGCTGGCGATGGACGCGCAACCATCGAGGCGATCGAGTCGCGTCGGTGATGAAGGGTTCTGTGTTTTCATGACGATGGCTGCTGACGGCGGGCTTGTGACTAAACGAAGCTTGGTAGGTTTGGCGGCGGCGACGGCGGCGATGTTGGTCAGCGTTTGTCGAGTTGAGGGTGATGATGGGGGGTGGTGGGGGGGGTGGTTTTGTGTAAAGGAACGAAGTGGTTAAAGAATACGCCCGTGGGCATCGGTCGTCGCGGAAGTTGCGCCCTCGCTCGCTGGCGCCGGTGAAAGGGGATCGGTGTCTTGCTGGGAGGTGAGTACGCCTGCCTGCCTGCCTCACTCTGCTTGGTCCTCCTTAGCTGAGGAAAGACGGCCGTTTTGATTGCTCTGCTGGGTAATCCCCCCCGTTAGCTCCATGGATAAGCCTAACAGGATACGGAATGTGCATCGTTCCTTACAGGTGTCGACAGACTGGCATGTGAGTGTTCGTATTAGAAAGGAGTATGGAATCATCTTTCGAGGCATGTGAGTGTTGACACTAGAAGAAGCCTGCAAGAGTGTTGACACTAGAAGAAGCCTGCAATCATCTTTCGGAAGTACGAGGTGCACCTCGGGGCCGAGGGATTCAGTTTTGTGTAAGTGGGCCGGTTTTCGCAGAGTTACCGTTTTTTATTTTTTATTTTTTCGCTTTTTGAGCATCACTTGCCATTACGGTGTCCTGGTGTCGGCAGTCTGAAAGAACTTTTCCTTTTTAGAGGGAAAACCTTGTGGGTGAGTAGACGTAGAGGCGTAGGCGGACAGTTTGCCAGCGAGGATACGTCAGCAGTTAACGGCATGTAGAAATAAGTATGGCAGGTGATAGCAATCAGTGACGTCGGAGGGAAGGCTACTTGATATCCGTACAAGAATCTCTCTCTCTCTCTCTCTGTGTCATCTGACGAGTAGACTGTGCAACCCTAAAGGAAAGGGTAGGGGTTCTGGATGCATTCCTTTGTAGCTGTGAATTTTGTCGAGCTAGCGGGATAATGTGAATCATGACGAGCAGCAGACTAGATGTTTCACATCGCGATTCGCAGCGGACGGAGGAGGAGGAGGAGCAGCATATACGAAAACGTCTGAACAAGTTGGGAGGGCCAGACCATAATCACACGTGCACTTTTTGGGGCAGATCTGGCTGGAATTGTGGTCAGATACGTCCCACTGCATTCGAAAACCCTCCCTCGAACCACTGGATCGATTCTGTCGGTGTGACCTCACCTGGCTGGAATTGCGCCCAGATACATCTCGCCGCATTCTGAAACTCCGCGATCCCCACCCAAGGGAGGAGGAGCGTTCGTGGAACGAACGTTCTCAACAAGTCGGAGGGTGCGGCCATACTCATATTTGGACTTTCTTTTGCGCAGTATCTCTCTGGAGCTGCGCATCCGACCCCATTTTCTAATACCCTCCACCGAACCACTCGATTCTGTCTGTCCTGAAGAAGTCTGTCCTTGATTGAGTCCCTCTATTTGTACTACCCCTCCCCCCCCCCCCCCTCCTCTCCTCTTTCTTGTATTTCTACGTTTGGACGAGGGTTTATGGTATGGTCTCCTCCTCTCTCCCTCCCTGTCTCCCTCCTCTCCTCGTTGCGTTGCGGTGTATATGGTCCCCGATTTTCTCTCCCGTCTGGTATCTTGTACACAGTAGTGTACTAGAATAGGCGCCTGATCCACTGAGTTTCCCCTGGTGCCTTGTCCCTGCATTTGCTCCCCTGCAGCCTCAGTTTTTTCTCTCCCTTTTGAGTATCATCCCTTCCATTCGTCCATTCATCCATTCATCCATCAATCCATTTTCGTCACCAGCTCCTGGAGCCGGGTAACATGGTCGTGGTGGTCTTAAAGATTGACGGCTTCGCAGAGGTTGATTTGTTGCGCTTGTTTTTGGCCTTCTTGCTGTTTTTGTCTTGCAGATGTGAGCTCTCTACCAGCGGAGCTTCGGAGGTTGCTGTCAACTATGCGCGAGCTGGATGAGAGGTCTCAAGGTACGAGTGATGACGTTATCCAACTTGTATCTCGCCAATGAGATTTATAGAGGCGTCGGTCATCGCAATTAAGCTCTCGTCTTTACTGCTCCCACCTTCCTACTATCTCGACTCTTCCGTACGACTACCGTCCGTCCTTCATTCGAGTTCGTTGCTTGTGCTTTTCTCAGCTCTCTCCAATCCCCGCCCCGGCTGCCGCCTGCCTTGGCCTTTACTACGTCTTCTTCTTTAATTCTCTTCCTCTCCCTCGCATCCTTTTTTTCCCCTTGATTTTACTCTCTCTCTCTCTCTCTTTTCCCCCTCTTCCTCCCCGCCCTGTCTTGTATTCTGCCTCTTTCCTCTCCGTTGGCTTAGTCCTCTCGTCAGATGCTCCCTATCATCAACACTTTTTAGTCTAATTGCTTGGCTCACGTGAATATATGCATATATGAATATATACAGCCTCCTGATGAGTCGGTGAAACTCCGACGAAACAGTTTGTCACAGCCCCTCGTTTGTTGTCCTCTTCTCCCTCTCTGCCTACGGTTTACCGGGCAGTTCTATTTGACGATATATACATTCATGTGATGATATATACATAAGTGCTCGTATTTGCTTGCTATGGAATGCTCACTTCTACAGCACCACCACCTTTTTCCTTACGCTGCGCCGCTTGAGCGCGAGTTGCATTGAAATCTGCAGTTCGGCCTTTTCCTTCCGCTGCTCCACTTGAGAGTGCGTGTTCCAGTGACATCGTTATCGGGGTGATCGTGCAGAGTCTAGCCGCCGACCAGTGCTGGGCTCTCATGCATCCGTTGAACCTGGTCCGTGTCGCTGAAATGTTGCTGCTGCTGCTTATTTTGCGCCAGCGGGGTGTATAGCCTCATCCCGTCTCTTTTTTGGTGGATCAGGCTCAGCACGCCTGGTTTCTCCTTCCTTCCCGCTGGCATTTTCGGACTGTTTCGACGTGTAGCTGCCTTTTTTTATCATATCCAGGGAGGGATTTGTTCTTTCTCAATAGCGCTAACTCAGCTAAGCTATATTCTTCTCTCAAATTCACCTTTCACCACCTAGCTACCTTTGTTTCGTTTGTCCTTCGGGACATCCGTTAAAATTGGAACGATACAGAGAATGAAGATTAGCATGGGCCCGGCGCAAGGATGACACGCATAAATCGAGAAATACCTTTGCTCGTTTGCCTTGGTATTTGTTGTTTTTCCTCTTTTATTTCTGGAAAGGGCGACGGCCTTGAGGGAGGTATCATCATCGAACTCCCCGGCCTCAGGTAACTTCCACCAGCGTTCGAAATCAGGTCTGTCTACCAACAGACCTATATGTGGGTGTACCATGCAGCCATATCGGTTAGGTTGGCTTGGTGTTTGTCTCATGGGCGCCTAGGTCACTTATTTGGATAATACAGTAATGCCAACCGGTGACCAGACCAATGAGGTCGAGCCCGCATTCGAATGTCCTGTCTGCTAAGTCGGCGTAACCCTGTTCCGTTAACTTTGATCTCCCTTTTGACCAGATTCATGCCAAGGTAGAAGTTCTGAATGCCGGCTGCCTTTTCGACCGGATTCATACTGTCGCAGCTCGTACTGCTGCCAGGGGGCCGGGACCCACAGATTGGAATCGGGAATGAAGGTTGGCGATTGGTTAATTTTGCAGTCGCCTTTCATTTCCCCTCCTGTTTTCTGAGAAGTCGCCAAAATGGACCTGCTTGCCTTGGCGGGTCTAGATTGGTGAAGAAAAGAGTCCCAGGGCACGCATCCGCAAGTGTCGCTCACTTGATAGGCCTTCAGCTCGAAAACAGTGCTGAAGGTGCAAATCCGTCTCTCTCTCTCTCTCTCACGCACACACGCACACACAGACACACCACACACGCATCACACCCAATGTGTGTGATGTGATGTGTGGACCGTCAGGGTCCGATCCTGGAGTATGACACAACAAACACACATCACACACACATCATTGACTTACTGTGAGGGCACGGGTGCGCAGCCCGTAATTTGTTTGTTGATGTGGTTGGGGAAGGGTAAGGTAGTGATTATGCTGTGCGTATGTTTTTTATGTTCGCTATACACGACTTGAAGAGTGTGTGTGGGGTCCCGGCTGGTGCTTTATTCACGATATTCATGGGACGGTGGACCCAGTTTCCAGCAGGTGCCGCTCCCCTCCAGTAGACAGGAGAATGTGTGTGTGTGTGTGTGTGTGTGTGTGTGTGTGAGAGAGAGAGAGAGAGAGAGAGAGAGAGAGAGAGAGAGAGAGAGAGAGAGAGAGAGTCCTGCAACATGCAGCATGTCAGTGGCAGGGAGCACAAGGGCAGGCGCTGACCTCCAAAAAACAAAGAAAAGGTAATGTTCTATTGGAATGCAAGAGTTTTCCTTTTTGAAATTCGAATAGAAAGGGTACACAATGTACTTGAACAGAACGAGCACGTGTTCTATTCGAAGTGCTGTTCTATTCGGGAAAAGTGGACCTACACCGTTTCGATTTCGAAGTGCTCTTCTTTTCGGGAAAACTGGACCCACACTGTTTCGATTTCGAAATGTTCAAAACTCAAGGACCGTGGCCTCGGCCTCCCACGCCGTTTTGATTTTGAATTGTCCAACTCAAGGACCGTGGCCTCCTCGGCCTCCTACGGGAAGCTACTGGTCCTTCGCATATTGATGTTGAAGGTCTCAAGGGCATAATATGCAACCCTGACGGGCTGCGAACATGCCCATCACACACACATGCATCACCCACACATTGCACGCACATCACACATGCACGCACGCGTCAAAATCTCTCTCTTTGTGTTTTTGTGCAATTCTCTTTGTCCATTCCCACTCTAGGCATGTCTCTCTGCGCATTAATCAAACACAAACGCACTCGTGCGTCAAGAAACTCTCTCTCTCTCTCTCTCTCTCTCTCTCTCTCTCTCTCTCTCTCTGTGTGACTGTGTTTTTGTGTACGACTGTCCTTGTCCATTCCCGTTGTAGTTATGTCTCTCTATGCATTGTTGTCTGCATCGCCATGCAAAGCACTATTTTGTTGTTGAATGCCTTAACTTAGAATCTTATCTGTTATGGATTGTGCAAAGCCGAGGGAGAACTTACCTGTTGTAGGTTGTGTTTTCTGTGGATGTTCAAATTTGTGCCGACTGGCATTTTTTGGCTGTGCGTGCTCATGTGATATTCGTGTGGAGGCTTTTATAGTAAGTGATTGATGCATGGGATTCCTTCGGTTGGTTGTTGAATGCCTTAACTTGGAATCTTATCTGTTATGGATTGTGCAAAGCCGAGGGAGAACTTATCTGTTCTAGGTTGTGTTTTCTGTGGATGTTCAAATTTGTGCCGACTGGCATTTTTTGGCTGTGCGTGCTCATGTGATATTCGTGTGGAGGCTTTTATAGTAAGTGATTGATGCATGGGATTCCTTCGGTTGGTGATATACAGCAATACTGATTCAGCTGCGGGAACAATGCCGGCAGTGCTTGAACATGCCGTCTCAGCAGTCGAAGAAGGCGACTCCAGAGCAGGTCGAGGCGATAGACAAGTTACGAAGAGAAATCGAAGATAATCAAGAGAAGAGCCTCAGCCTGTCTATGGAAAAGGTTCTCCTAGCAAAACAGGCAAACGAAATGGTAAGCTACGATCTATGGTGTTGCGCTGAAGCCCCTGGCCCTCACCAGTGCGTCGCGTGATGGTTTGAATGATGGATTGATTGAATCGTTGCTTGATTGATTGATTGTTGTGTGTTTGTTTTGCAAAACCAAGCATAACTTCCCCGTTGCGCATTGCCAGCCCCCCACGGGAGAGTCTGATAGGACCAATGTTGTGGAAAAAGGTACAGAAGGGAAGGCATTAATGGATACATGTGGTTGGAAAGAAGTGTAAATTTGAATGGAACGAGTTGTTTACGAACGAGCGAAGGGAGGAAGTATATCGTCCAAAAGGTAACAAGGATAGAGGATACACCACGGTGTTGTCCTTCTTTGAATCCAAAGAAAAGAAGGAAGCGATATCCTTCTTGTGCTCCTCTGCAGAGGGAAAGGAGGATATCGTGGAGTTTGGGGACGGAGGGAGGACACAATTGCTGCTGCTCCTGACATCTGCACGTCGTGGTAGGCAAGAAGAGAGAACACAATTGTAGGGCCCACCACCACCACCACCACCACCTGGACGTTTTCACCTCCGGGTGCATTCTATTCGGACAGGGGCAATCTTGGAATTTCACGTACTGCAAGGGGGTTCAGTTGCATCTCTTCTTCTTTCACTGTTCTCTGCTTTTGTTAGCCTCGTTGTTTTGCCTGCGGGCTGTGCTCTGAGGTCAGATCAAACGTCTCTCCGGGCTTATTAAATTAGCATTATTAAATGAAGTGAATTTTGTCCGTGTATCTCTTCGTAAAGCTGTTGCTCCTGGTTGTCAAGCGCTTTGTCGTGTCTTGGTTGATATTGTTTTTTCCCCCCCTCTTTTTTTGGGTGGTGGGTGCTTCCTGTGGATATCGACGGGGAGGGAGGGCTTGTTACCAGGTCGAGACTCATGTGAAACGGCTAGATGAGGACTTGGCTAATTTTGAGGAAGAGCTTAAGCAAGGTGGGTGTGGCGGTGGTTGCTGGTCTGTGGTTTGCGTTCTGCGACGTGTCTGGAGATCGTCACGGGGATGAATTGTTGCTCGTCAGTCAGTGTTCTGGCGTGGTGTATTTCTTGCATCCATCACCAGTTTTATCATTTTTTTGTGCGGAATTTGCAAATTCGACTGGACCTGCTTGCTCCTTGAGTGGATTAGTCTGGCGTTTCTTTTTCCCTTTTTTCCCCTCCGCTTTTTCCTGGTCAATGAAATTCAGTGGATCACATTACGTTGGTGTCATCCTCTATTGTCTTGCCGGGCGCTCTTTTTAAATGTCTTGACTGATGGTGTGAGTGGGTATATAAGAGTCACTACCACGACCACATGGCATCGAGGAAGCATCAGGTCATGGGGTGCTGTACACAACGTGATGGGTCAGGTTGCAGTGGGTGCTGCACATCAGGGACAGTCAGGTGGAAGTGGTGGCTGGAGTCGTAGAGGCTCTGGCGGGTGTTGGGGTGGTGTGGGGTGTTGCCACCAATGCAAATGCCGTGCGTCAGAAATCCAATCAACTATGCAACTGCTACCCGCACGGTGCAAATGCCACGTCGAAGAATCAATCAATTTGGCAGCTGGAAAACGCAGACAGTTAATGAATGTTCCACACGCAGTTACTTGCTCCTCTTGCGAGCTATGAGTGTACGCCTAAGCGCTGCATATAGTAGTATGATAATAATAGGATGGAACAGACGGACACTCAGATGATGAAGCGAACCAAGTTGACTAAGCGGGCGTCAGCTATGTGTGGTCCTGGGAACAAACAAATGGATGCAGGTCCAAACTCAGTCCTCCTGGGAACTCGTGAACCGAGGTCACCAAATCAGGCCAGGTGCATTTGGCCCTCTGTGAAAGGTGAGGAAAGGTCACCAAAGCAGGCCAGGTGCATTTGGCCCTCTGGGAGAGGGGAGGAAAACCAACCTCCAGGTTCGCCAGTTGGTTTGAACGTTTGGTCAAGTCCAAGACGTGAATTTGAACGTTTGGTCAAGTCCAAGACTTGACTTCTCTCTCACTCGCTTGGTGCGGACTACAAGCTTTTTTTTTTTTTTATATGCCACGCTGAGATATTTAGGAAGCCACCGCTGGAGTCACCAGGCCCTTAAGCCTTTTTCTCCTTCTACCTAATATGGACCACTTCTTCCCTCGATTCGTCGATTCGTCGATTCGTAGTGCAGTTATGGTGAGTGGGGGAGGAGAGAAGCAGGCTTCACAGAGTTCTTGCAGTAGAGGGAAAGTGTGGCAGCTAAGTGAACGTATTGTCTGGATGATTGTCAAGGGTGTGGGTGTGGTCGCTGCGATGCGACATTAAGGCAGGGGGCGGCTGTGATGGAACATCCTGGCAAACATGTTGTTGGGTAAAGCAGATTAACGTTAGGTGCAGCAATTGATCGGGGCCATGTAAGGTGAAGCAGAGTAACCCGTGATGCAAACGCCGTGGAAATCATGCTGGGTGGCTGTTAATTCCCCTATCATTATGCCCTCTATGCTACCTAAACAGATTGCTGGAGGTGAAGCCTGCACCTTATTCCAACAGCTTTCACATTGAGATGCGAGGGATGCGTTTTGATTGAGGCACCGTATGGAGTGCTGTTGTTGCTGCTGCTGCTGCTGCTTTTTTACTAACTTGAATCCAGAACGGCGACAGAACAGGGAGTCGAGGTCTGGGAAGGAAATCTCACGAACAAACTGCCCTGAGGATCAAGCAGTGTGTTGACAGCTGAGCTCTGGGAATGACAATTCACAGCCGTCCGGAAGATGAAGCACAGTGCTGACTAAAAGCTGCAGGACTCACCTCCCCATGCATGTATGCTCTCTAATTGCCACTAGTGCTGCTGGAAGGATGTGTAATGCTCGTTGTTGAACCAGCTCTATTGACTGTTGGGGCGAGGACGCTATCTGCTTGACCCTCTCTAATAACGCCTCCTTGTCTATGCTCCTGTTCGTTGCAGGCCCTTCCTTCCATTCAAGGAGGCACCACGATGGTAGGTCTGAGCAATGCCCCTTCCAGTCAAGTGCCCTCTTTCAACCTCCCAATGGTAGACCCTGTCTTTGGTGTCGACTTTCATGTGATTTGATCCTGCTCCTGGATGCTGTTTGTTGCTGTAAATTCAAACGGAGTGTGAGAGTTTGCCCTCTGAGAACTCTCACGGCCGAATGCTCTGGTTGTCTGTCTCCAGAGGGAAAACTTCCGCTGGATTCTCCTATGGTCCTGCTCTCGGGAGATAAGCGCAAAGGAGATTTTCGAGCGCCCCCCTTCAAAAGACCTGACATGAGGGGGGACCGAGAAAGGGAGCGGGAAATGGATATGGATCAGGCACTTGGAGCTCACAGAAGGAAAGTTCAAGTAGAAGTTGAGGCTGATCAGCCAGTTGACCCCGACGAGCCCAAGTACTGTGTATGCCACCAGGTACGGCAGTTTCTCGTCATACCACGATTACTAATGAAGTGGCATGACCTACATCCATTGAGTGAGAACATGGAAGCTGTGATCCTAACCCCTTTTGCCCGCCTGTACTCTCTGTGTGTGTGTGTGTGTGTGTGTGTGTGTGTGTGTGTGTGTGTGTGTGTGTGTGTGTGTGTGTGTGTGTGTGCTGAACACAACTCCACAGGAAAAGGGCGACTGTGACACTTTCTCGGACTTCCACCTGACTCTCTGAGAGGTTGGACAGTCTCCGTAGGATACATTTGACTGATGTGTAAAAACTCGCCACCTGACTGTCTGACGGGTTGGACACTGATAGACTTTATATTTGCACTAACCCGGCGATACCATCGGACTATTAGTTTAGAATCCTGACAGTAACGGAAGTAAGCCTGGAAAAAGTTTTTTGTTTCTTTTCAATGGACCCTGCATGTCATCCTTGAGCAGAGGCAGTAAGCCTGGAAAACCACTCTCCATTGCAGCCATAAAACCCACTCTATACACCCACTCTGCCTCTCTATGTGTGTCGGTGTGTCGCCTTGTGTGTGTGTGTGTGTGTGTGTGTGTGTGTGTGTGTGTGWGAGAGAGAGAGAGAGAGAGAGAGAGAGAGAGAGAGAGAGAGAGAGAGAGAGAGAGAGAGAGAGAGAGAGAGAGAGAAGTGACCTTTCAAACGGCTAGGTTGTCTGTGCATCTGTCCATTGGTGTTAGCCCTGGTAGTTTGGCAGCCTGTCACTTGGCTGTTGAATCCGTGCCGTTGTGCGTCCACTGCCTCATCCCGACTGATTTTCCTTTCAGCTGTCTGTGTGGTTTGCAAGTGTTTTTGTTTGCCTTTCCCTGGCACTCATTTTTCAGTCCTTGGGCTGCCGCTTTCAGGGCTCTCTTGAATGATTTGTCTTCCTTCCTGATTGTGTTTTGGAAACTTGGGCTGCATAAATTGCATGCCGTGCACTGTTCAAAATGAAAATTAGGCATCCAATCGTAGTGGCACCCAGCTTGAATCTCTGGATGCTCGGTATGGTTTGGAGTGCTGCGAACCTAGAGGCTTGACCAAAACCTCTTTCATCATTTATGCGGGGCTTGCTAGTCCACCTTTTACGCACGGTGTTTCTTATTCCTCTCCCCCGTTGACATTCTGCAATGTGCACTGAGCGACATGAAGAAGATCTTGACTGGCATGGAGTTTGGTACTGTCCTTTTGCTGGATGCTGCCTTTGTTGCCTTGACCACTTCTGCAGGTCTCATTCGGCGAGATGATTGCATGTGACAATGAAGATGTGAGTAGTTCCGGACTCCTCCTCCCGCCAAATGGTCGTCGTAATCACCATCTAAAACACCATCTCACCTTGGAAAATTTGATCCGTGGATGATCTTTGAGAGAGCTCTTGGATGTGTTTGCTTCTCAGGCATTATCACCTGCAATCGGTCTGACGTGTCTTTTGTAGCTTATGTGGGCAGCAGTTTCCAGGTAAATAATGATTGTGATCGCCCCTCTGTAGGCCTGTGTTTGGGGTCCTTATTTTCCAGGGAAAAAGGAGAATTGTTCTGGAATGATTCAACGACAATTGTCCTAGAATGTTTCTTTCTCGTCCGAGAGTGCATTGGCAGCAATCAGGCTGTCCGTGCTCTCGGACTAGAAACGTTCTTGGACAATTCTGAGGCTCTGCGGTCATAGCACAGCTCAGAGCCTGCTTGCGCCTTAAACCACACCAATACGCCCGGGGGGCGTGGAGAACCTGCACTGCATGCCAAGCTTTTCTGGACCGCCAGTGGCACACTTTTTTTCTTTTTCTCGGCTGGCACCGCCAGCCATTGTGGTCCGGTAGCCCCGAGCCCCGAAAAGTTTGGACTTGGCTACTCGCGATTTGCTGGAAGGCTGGGGTTGTGCACCAGCGGTTTAAATTCGTCTTCCATTTCTACCTGAATTGAATGAGGAAACTTGGCTGGAGTTGACCCCCGGCAACCAAGCCCGTGTGGCTGAATGCTTCCCCCATGAACTGGTTTTAATCAGACCTGAGTTCGAATCCGTGGATGAAATCAGAGAAAAATAGATCCGAATTGCCTGGGGATGCTCAGATAGGCAAATGATACCTTGAGGCTGTTGTTCCCTTCAAATGGAAAAAGGTCGCTGGTAACTTTGTGTTGCAATTGTGTACGTGGCATATTTTTTCCCAGACTTGATTGTCAATTTTGATTTTGATTTTGATTTTGCTTGCTCTACTGGGGCTCCCTGGGGTTTGGCCACCTGGTTTGGCACCTGGGGCAGCCAGAGCCAGCCTGGCCTGTGGGGCGGGTCACGTGGGAGCTGGGAGAGAAGCCTCAGGAAATACCGGCTAAAAGACCAAACCATAGAGTAGCTAAAACTGGAGCTGTTGCACATGGTTTGCGTCTTTCTTATACATGGCTTGCGTGCTCTTTCTTCGGTGCTTCTGCAGTTTGTCAGGGGCGCCGGTGCCGGTGTGTGTGTGTGTGTGTGTGTGTGTGTGTGTGTGTGTGTGTGTGTGTGTGTTTGTAATTATGCGATGTGATATATGTGTGGCTATTTGCTTGTTGCTGTCACGTGTTAATTGTATCTTGTCCTTCCCGAACGCATTTAGCGGTGCCCCAGCGGGCCATTGGGCACGTTGCTTCGCTAGCTTGGTGATTGTGTCTTGCCTTGTTGGTTTTTGAGGTTTTGTTGTATGTGTAACGCTTGCGTTCTCACTCCCATGTCATGGTGGCTTGTTGGGTGGTAAGTGCCTCTGTGTGGCACTCTTTTGTTCGGTGCGTCCGCTCACACTGCATGCAGTATGGCTGCTTGGAGGTCTGTGGACTGCTATATCTCCGTGCACTTTTCATGTGTACTATAATGGTTTGTGTTTGGTAATTGTGCTTTTCTCACCCTTATTTCCCCCCCTTTTCAAATGTATGTTGCAGTGCAAAGGAGGGGAATGGTTCCATTATGGGTGTGTTGGCCTCAGCCCAGAAAATCGGTACAAAGGCCGGTGGTACTGTCCAGAGTGCAAGCAACAGCTTCAGATGCAGCGGCGTGGTCTTGTAGATCCTCCAATCTAATCTGCTAGCAAGGAGTTGTGCGCCGCTTCCATCAACCGTATCGCTCTCGTGCGCCATTCTATCACCTATCTCGCTCGTCACATCAGAGTCTCAACGCTCTGTTGCCAGAACACCGTGGAATCTATGGCTTCACTTGTGCACCTGAGCATTCGCCATGGCCTCCTGCATGTGTCAACCTCCTCCGGGTGTGCTGTTGCCAGTGTGGAGAATGGCGGCGCGTCATGCTGGGTGAGAAAAGCAAATGCTGTCTGCGTCGGTACTGGCAAATACTGCTGGTCCTTCTGCGAGGCCTCAATTGCGTGACATGCAATGACAGCTCATTGGCGACGAAGCCATGGTCGTATCAGTGGAACATTGTACAGCCATCCCTGAGTGAAGAACGTGCCGTAGAGAAGGTTGTTGTTGAAAGGCCGTCCGAAAACAATACGCTGTTAGACGATGAACAGTGCCGGTTTGTGCTGATGCCACCTGTAGTCTCTTAGCAAGTATCGCGTGCGTAGCACATCTGTTGGCAGTCCCAATCAGTGGCTGGCTTGCTATAGCTTTTGTGGTTGAGATGCTTTCTACCCAGAGTTGGTGCCGGTTTTGGGGGGCATGAAAGTAGGTAAGTGCGTGCTGGGTAGAGGATGGCATCGTTGTACTACCCCTTCTGTGTTGTTCTGCTCTGTTCCGTTCTCTTGGAAGCATCTAATTGAGGATGGCTGCACCAGCACTGCTTGGTAAGATGGTTTGGAGTTTGTTATATCAGGAGAAGGTGATGGCACGATGACGACACGAATGTTTTTTTGGCAGCAGTGTTGGTGCAGCCTGTTGCTTTACGGCGTTTATGCTTCTGTACGACGGGGGCCCAGGGGGAAGGAGTAGGGGAGGTGGGGTAGCTAGCGAGTGTTATTGGTGCGCACATTGCATGTGGATGGATAGTGGAAGGTTGTGCTTTTGAAAGTTTGATTCATAAGCGCAGAGGTTATGTTGCCGGAGCATTTAGGCAGGCAGCCTTTGCCCCCCCCCACCCCCACCCCCTTTTAAGGTGGCATTTAGGCAGGCAGCCTTTGATGCAAGTGATGCGTTCAGCAGGCTATGGGTTTCCGCTCCGCTACTCTCGCTCGACTCTTGAAAATTGGCAAGTGGGGCTTCGCTCCACTTACTCTCCGAGTCGAGTGTATGGAGAGCTGTCTGAACATGACCTTGAAAGGCACTCCCCAAGCTTGGAGGCTTTCCCACCTGCAAAGGCATCGCGGTCTTGAAAGGCACACTCCGAGCTTGGAGAGCTTCCCAACTGCGAAGGCGTGGCTATTTGGAGAGAGTACGCCGCCTCGAGTATGTGCGGAGAAACGGTGACTTCCCAGTACTCTAGCTACTCACCAATTTGGAGAGTATGTGGGTCGGCGACGTCTCTTTTGTGTTTCTGGAGTGTCTGACTGCTCTCCAAGGACTCTGCAAACTTTTGGAGACCGGAGGGCAACGGAGCAAAAAGGCCCTTTGGTTGTGTCCAGAACTAGTTACATTCCGTCAATGGATCAGATCTGATACGTCTTTATTCGTGTTCCTTTCCTTCACGTGTATCAATATATATCCTTGTATAGGCTCCGGCACTGTTGCCCATGTGCAATAGTTATTTCGACGTCGGATCTCGGTGAGGTGACTTCACTCCGCAGCATGACTGATGTGCTTTGGCTTGTTTTTGCCCCGTTGTCCTATTATGTCAGTTTGAGTCCTGTTGGTCGGTGTTTGGCTGTAGGGTGGAGATGTAGTCTCAGCAGAGCTCCAGCCTCTTGTTGGGAAACGCTGCTGCGGTCTGCTGGTGTTGTGGAGGAATAGGAAAGCTATGATAGGGTTTCTCCCCTTGTATACGACATCGTTTGACGTCTTAGCAACACGCGCTCTTCCTCCTTTTTTTTTTATGTCTTCTCCGCTTCTTTTTTTTTTTCTTTTGGTATCTTGTCTCTCCAGATGACGGGCCACTTTGTCCCATCTCCACATCGCTTGTTCAATCTGCCTACCTGGCCCTACCATGCAAAGCTTGTTAGATTTTTATTTTATTTTATTTTACTTTTCCCCGCAACTAAACTTGTTAGGCCGTAGTTTCCGCTTGTTTGATAATTTCGGAGGTTAATATTGGCAATGTGGGTATTCCTACTCCTTGGAGAAGAAGATTGTATGCCGCCTGCGGGTAGGGTAGTCTATCTGCAGAGAACATAAAGGGCTCAGGGCTTGATTAGAACAGAGTTGTGCCGATCCTGCTTGCTCCGGCCTGCGTTTTTGAAGGCAAGAATACTCCGCCAGAGGGCACGACCGGTGGGAACCCTCGAGGGTGGATGCAATCTTCTTGTTAGCCGGGTGCTGCTCTGCTTGAGCACCAGCTGTTTCGTCCTGCATGAAGAAATAAAGGGAAAAGGAATGGAGTTCAAAAGAGGGACAGATGTTAAAGGCCAGAATTCTGTTTTGGGTGTGATGAAAATCATGTCTTTTTGTGGGACTTTGTGTATAACCTTTGTGGCTCGTTTCCCTCCATGGCAACACATGGATTCCTGCAATCCCTTCTGTCTGCACTGGAGTAAGATGCTTGGTCATTATTGCCGCACCTGTTCTGAAGGGTGCCCCAAATACAGCCATAATGACCAGCCGTGCTATTCGGGTGAAAAATGGCAAGATGGTGTCTGTTCAAGAGCACGTGCAGTTAGTGAAACCGGGTTCTGTTTTCAACTTAACGAAGGCATGCCGATGATAATTGCTATAGGTTTACAGAGTGTTGTACCTGTTCCTGGGCACTTTAGATCCTTGCCCAATTGATGTTGAATACAACTTCAATTTTTCGAATGGGTGCTCATCATCATGGGAACGAATCAGACTCTCTCTGTTCGACTGCCTCGCTCGCTGCCGGCTTGTCTGCACCTGAACCCTATTGGTTTCCATAGTCATTAGGGAAGGAACATGATGCCATTCCCCGTTTCCCAGCAGGTGATGGTCCCCACTAATTTTGATCGGAGTGCCCGAGGTGGTTACTATGGGGAGATGCTCGTATCACTCCCCATAGTGTTTTCAGCTCGGATCTTTCTTAACCGTTAAAGGGGGGGGGAAAAAGGATGCGATTTGCTGCGCATTGCACCTGAAATTCTGAGGTTGTCGTTGTATCTCGGAAAGTAGTTCCGCCATTGCCACTGCTGGAAACGACCTCGTCGTTTGGCACGGCCGGTTGCAGATATGGCTCTCTATTCCAAGGTTCATTTTCGTACTGGCATTTTTGTTGAATAGACTCTTGTGATTACTTACATTCTTGTAATTCCCTTAGCCGGCAATCGCATCCCTTTTTCACTGCAATCGCATTCACTTTTCACTGCAATCGCATCCACTTTTCACTGCAATCGCATCCATTTTTCACTGCAATCGCATCCATTTTTCACTGCAATCACATCATTTTTCACTGCAATCGCATCCATTTTTCACTGCTCCTCCCCAGAAGGGCAAAGCAGACTAATGCTTCCGAGTGACAAAATCTGTTCAGGTCGTTGCTTCTGAATGCTTGTATGGCCAATAAACCACCCTTGTCCTCCCTCGACTGTGTACTCCCTGCTGCGGCTGTTGCCTGTTTGGTGTCTGAGCCTCTACCGGAAGCCACGAGGTCGCCCTCACTCTGTCCGGTCACTTGTGAGATATTGTTGCCGCCTGGTTCTCCCCTCTCTTGCCTGTGCTGTTGGAATCTCTCTCCTACGGCCAGTGGTTCAGTTCTCTTGGAGCAATCACAATCTCGCTCAAAACTTGTCCAGGGCAACCACAGCTTCACCTTTGCATTTTGATGCTTGGACACTCACATGCCTGGCTTGTGGAAATTTACGTAACGTCCAGGCCGCAGTGGCTCACAGAGCACTGACGCTGCCGAACTCTTTGTGATTACTTCCAAACAAGCTGGTGACACCCTCTATGCCCTTTCCAAAGCATACATCTCTTCTCTCTCTCTCTCTCTGTGTGTGTGTGTGTGTGTGTGTGTGTGTGTGTGTGTGTGTGTGTGTGTGTGTGTGTGTGTGTGTGTGTGTGTGTGCGTGCCCTGTTACGGCATGTCAGTCTGTTTCTCAGTGCTGCGTTCAACACATCCCTTTATGCTGCAGAAAACACAGGTCTCTTCCCTCGGCGAGGGTGGCAAACATGTTGTGGAGGTGAAACCGTGGCGTGCAGAAATGACCCGAACTGATGTGTTCAGGCACACCCTGGAAGGTATACAGTGCGACATTTTTTCAAGTTGAATGCCGGCCAGATGAACCGCACCAGGAAAGGTTGCCACCTTCTAAATGTGCTGATTGTCATTTCATTTTCTCTCCTGAGGACACACACACGCACACACACACACACACACACACACACACACACACACACACACACACACACACACACACACACAGAGCATGTCAGCCCCACCGTTTCGGGCACAGCTGCTTGCCATGTGACTGTCCCCTAAATGGGGTCCCTGCCTTTCTGGGTGCAGTGTAATGATAGTCATGGGGTGCTGCATGGCTGGTCAAGTGAATCCCTTATGTTTCAGTGGGATGCATGAATCATGAAGAGGTTCCGTGTTATATGCTGTGCTATGCCCCGTGAGTGAGAGAGTGCCCATTTGAAGGAACGCCTCTGGTCCCCAATACCCCTCCCTGTTGCAACCCAATCACAGGGGTCGCGATGCTCCTGCAAGGAAGGGGGCATGGAGGGTTCATGGGTGTCACTGTGTAAAATTGTTACGACAGGCGCACTACTACTAGGTATTACCATAGGGAAGGAAAGATGAGGGGGGGAACAGAGGAAGGTAGGGGGGTCATACGGCTTCGCGCTCTGGACTCCTTCCTAAAACCCAGGTTCCGCTGCGCACGCAGGGGTCTGGCTACCCCAACCAGTGTAGGCCAAAACACTGGCCTGTCCAGGAGGGAGTCCACTCTCCTCTAGCTTGACATCAGTTTGCCAGGAGGCCGAAAACTCGACGGCGCTGTCGTCAGCCGGGCAGTGAAAACCTGGGCCTGACATTGTGCCAAGAGAATGCCTCTCAAGAGTGAGATTGGGGGGTATAGAGAAAGGCCTGCAACAGTGCTGGAGGTTTGGCTGGCAAGGGGAGCAAACGTGGTTAACCAGGGGTGTTATTTTCGACGGATTTTGCACCGAATTGCACTGAAACTGTCATATTGTGCTGATTTTTTGTTTTTTTTTCTTGTTTTTTTTTGTGTGATATATATGTGCTTTAGGGTATGTCATGTGTGCAGTTTTGACATGTTTGGATCAATAATGAAAAAGTAGGCATTTCGTTGAATTCGTTGGACACTTCATTTTGACTCGGACAGTGTTTTTGTGTTAGGGTTTCATAGTGTTTTTTTGTTTTTTTTCCGTTTATTTTTGCCTGTGTCCTTTTTTTTATGTTTGCACTATGGTCTCAATCGTTTGTTTTTGGATTTTTTTGATGAAATTTGCATCGCAATTGCCAACGAAAACGACGAATATTTGGGCCCCCGTGAACCGTCTCTCTAGGAGGCTAGAGGCAGGGTAAGGGACGCTGAAGTGTTCGGGGCCGAGGAAGGTGTACCTGAGGGGCGGAGGATGGGCAGTGGTAGAGCGGAGGAGGTGGGGGAAGGAGACTAGAGGAGAGGTGGTAGGGGAAGGGGACTACAGGAGAGGTGGAGGGGGATGGCGCTGTGCGGTGTAAGACGCCCGAGGATGGGGGGATGGGAAGGGCTACGAGGAGTGGGGTATTACATGGGGGTGCAACGAGGAAACGGGCTTGGCTCAGTACCGAGGCTATTGGCAGGATCATTCGCTTGGCTAGTGGGGGGGAGAGGGGGGTTAGTACACATATGGTGAAATGAAGGTTTGGGGGAATTGTTGAAGAACAGAAGTAGCCCGTTTTATGTTTGGAGGCGCAAAACCTGACCAATCACAGATTTTACTTGAGAAAGAAAACATCGTGCAACTAATAGTGTGAGTGGAGGTTGTCTGTTTGCACCCTCTGTTTTCTCATTTTCACTTTGCCGACATTTTTGCTTTCTTTTTCTTGTTCTCCCCCCCCCCTGGTGCAGCTACTTGGGCCGTTAAACATGAAGGATCTAGGGGAGAACCATCCACCACTCGCACCTTTAGCTCCCACATACAGGGCTGCAGTGCATACTATCTTAGCGAGGTTGTGCATAAAGCAGCAGTAGTACCTTTGACGCTTCCCCCCTTGCCAAGCCTAGAAACGCCCTGTGCACCACCAAAGAAAATGAACCAGCCAGGGGGTCCCCCTTTTGGCTGGCGCCGCCGGGCATTTTGCCACGGCAGGCCGACCTGCGGAACTGTGTGCGTTAACGGCCACATCGGGAGAAAAGGTATCGGTGGTTTATTTAATTCCCCGTTGCATTCTTAAATGACACGGTACTAAGCGAACACTCACACTAGGAGTTTTTCGACTTCTCTGTGGACGTAATAGCGTTTAGCTGCATCCTGGCTGGGTCGGAAAAGCGGTCATATACATCGGGGAAAGTCCTAGTGTGAGTATGCCCCCCGGGTCGGAAAAGCGGGCATATACGTCTGGGGAAGTCGTAGTGTGAGTATGCCCCCGGGTCGAAAAAGCGGTCAAATACAGGCGAGAGCTCTCGCCTGCTCCGGGAGGAACTCCCTGTCAAAGTTACAGGACTGACCTGGGACTTCAATCCACATTGATGAGAGTTTTCTCTGCTCTGCTGTACCCTGCAGCTTGACTTGACTGACCTGCGACTGGAGCTTGGGGTGCAGGGGCTGCATTGGGTCTACGATTGCGGATTGGACTGGTTTCAGAACACTGTTGGGGGGGGATGGGGACTGGGACTGGCAGTGATGAGACTGAGACTGCCTGGCCTTTCGAATTTTCAGATTGTCTTCCTGATTTCTTTTCATCGATCCCCTTGAACTCTGGAGGGGATTCCGGCCAGGGCAGGCGAGAGGCGAGAGGCGAGAGCTCTCGACTACTCCGGGGGGATTTCCCCGTCAATCCAATGCTCTGCAACGATGTCGAAGGGCTCGGCTGGGCAGGAGCGAGTGCCATTTATCATTCCACGAATTTGTTTAACCGCCACCGCATTTTC